ATTCCTGCTTTTTTAAAGACAAAGTTTAGAAAACTGTTTGGGACTGCTGGCATCCCGAAAACATTTATTTCAGAACTGCCTATCGCTTTGCCATGTAAGGCACAGGACTATTACTTTTGTTAAATGCCCATTCCCTAGCAATAAACCTGCAAGCACTATTTCTACAAGTAGATCATCTTTGCATTAAGCCAGAGGACATTGATTGATAAGCAAATGCCACTTCGAAGCAAACATTTTTCACTGAATTAAAATCAGAACCATGTTGTTCACATGAGAGAGGACTGAGGACACTTTTTTTTCCACGAAACCCTGATATTTAGTTTCCTCTGTTCTTGGTAATGACTTGGTGGAAGTACTTATAAATGTACACATACTTCTTTCCAAAAAAGGCAAAGTATGGAACACATTCTACTGGAGAAAGCCAGATCAATTACTTGCTTTATTTGTTAGCAGACTGCTTTTACCCAAACCAATGCTGTTATGCTTCCAGAGGAGACTAAAAGAACATAAACGACATCCCCAACTCCACAGCGAGAACACAGCAAAGCTTACGCAAGCTCTGGATTTCTATCTTGTGTGCCCAACATCTCTACTTTGGAGTGCCTTTTCGACAAGTACACCATATATGGTAATTCCTCATGAAAATCTCCAACTCTCACAGTATTTTGGTCCTTTCAAGGACATTTTTCTGACAGAACTCTTAGTTCCATGGTCTGCAAATGACAAAACCAGCATTTACTTGGACTGTCAGAAGATGACTGCAAGTTGCTTAATTTTTGTAAATGGATTACTGTTTTAAACCACTGGTCTATGCTCTAGAAAACTAACGAACATACTTGGCTTTCTAGCAATGATGGCCTTGTTTACCAGAAATTCAGAACTCCAACAGCAATATCTACATTTTTACTATTAAAATTAAAATGAGCAAAGAAGCTTAAACGTTTCTTTATTCAGGGAAAACAAACAAATAACCCTCTCACATACCCTCAACAGAATTACTGGATTAGAAACTCACAGAAAACCATTTGTCAGTAAACAGGCTTGGGATCTGGACGCTTCAACTGAAGCTTGCAACAGCAGCCTGCATCTTTTGCATACGTGTTCAAAACTGGATTATTATAGCCCATCTTTACTATCATCCAAGATTAATCCCTGTCCCTGTGTGGTTTTCACACTTTTTTGACAATTGTACCTACTGGTCAGGTGACAGAATGCATGCAAACTGTTTGGATATTCGGTGATGAGAGCAATAAGAACAGAAGATAATTTCAAAGAGAGTAACAATAGTAGGCTTTGCTCGTGAAAAGAGCTTTCCTCTATCTTCAGCGTCATTGGAATTACTTTTCAATTTGTACTACAGTAAAGATGATGATTGTCAGCATTTATAAGTATCCCCTGCTGTGAATCAGATAGGTTTCAATTTGAAGGGGGGGAGGAATAAAATTCTAATGGCATTTCCTATCACAAGCCTTATTTGCCTGGATCTAAAAGTGAATATTTACTGAAGCTTTTTGTTTTTGAAGATATGCTCAAAGATGAGACTAGAAAGTTTTACACAGCAGACCAAGCTTTGCGTATTGTTAATAATGAAGTGAGACAAGAGAAAAAGTCTTGCCAACAATACAAAAGACACTTAAAAAACATGAGATGAAAGCAACTGTATTTCATCTTAACCAAAATGAAAGTGACAGCAAGAATTTTAAAAACAATGAAGGCTTTTTTGTTTTGAAAATCTAAGATGGATGCTGAACTGCTAAATATAAAAAAAAAAAAGATAAATGAACTGATAAACAACACATGGATAGAGTGGCATCTTTTTACAGAGTTTCAAAGCGGCAGGGGTTTTTTAGCTTGCAAAACTGTTGTATTTACTTTCATATGGTCAGCGCCTGCATTCTACTTGGTTAATAAAGCACAGCAACAAGACTTACGACTTCCATATGCAGTCTTAAAAAAAAAAATTAAAGTGTAGTGCACAAATAGTAAACAGATGTTTTAAGTGTTCAAAGCTATAAGGAATACACATTTTAAAATAAATTGAAGAAGCCACCTGAAGAAAGTGATTATTTAGGGGGAAAAAGCAGTTATTTAAACTGAAAAACTTTAAAGCAATAACCACTTTGGAACTGCTTATTCAGAGTGAAAAAAATGAAGACAGTTTAGTCTCCCTGCGTAGCCATTTAAGTGGCTACCATATTTATCACTGACAAATTAACTAGTTTGCCAATGAAAATACAAAGTAATCAGTAACTTGGTTATTATTTAACATATTACAAACCCAAGACTTGGGAAAAATAATCTAGAAAGCTCAAATTTTAAATAAGATGGGAGGGTTAGAACACTATCAGGCGTAACTGGCAGAACTTTGGTAGCAGGGTGCTGCAGGAGTGAATCTACGTGGCAGAAAGCCATGAGCTGCCTTGTGCTGTTCGTAGCCAGCTCTGAAGCTGGTGTAAGCAACTCACCGCATACCAAAACATCGTGTAGCCAGGGGAGCCGTGGCATCTCTGCCCAAAAATATTTAAGAGCAAGCAACAGTCACTAGGGGTTGGGTTGTAGCCCACAGAGGGGACCCATCCCTGAAGGGCTGTGGTCACCAGGAAGACCACAGTATGTCAATTTAAAGCATGTATTTTACAAGGAAAATATACTTAGTGTTTGCTTCACAAAAGACTACTACAAAAAATGGTCTGCACCACTGAAGGCTATTAAAATATTAAAAAGCAAAACAAGAACAGGTTAATAACTATGAATATGCTGGTCAATGAACAGAGTTATAACCAAACCAGGCAGCAGGCATCGTGCTCTACTGATGAGGTATTCCTCATTTGTCACGGCTCAAGAAGCTGCTGACTTTTGTGCAAATACCTCAATTTTAGACTGACCACAGAAATATTCTTTACTGACTGTTGCCACAATTCACAACAAGATTCCTAAAACTTACTTTTAACAACACCAACAAAAAAGCAAAGTTCTACCGTATTTTTCTTCTTGAACTTTCTGTTCAACTTCAGATCCTGTGAGGATCTATTGAACTACAGTTGCTTCTAAACCAGGCTTTGGGCGTGTACCATCGCTATCCCATCCCCTGATGCGCAATGCAGAAGCAGTAAACCACACACTTACTTGACCGGAACAAAAATTTTGTTACTGTATATTCTTTATGCAGACAGCACTGAAACCTGAGCGTCTAATTTATGCAAAGCATCCCTATCTCTAGACACCACATAAAAATTCCAGAGTACTCAGTGTTCACTTTAGATATATAATTTGGAAGTATATTTATATGAAAATTATACATTTTATACTGTTGGCACAGAATACAGCTCATTTTCCCAGTTAGGAGCTGAATAACTACAGTATGCTTAAAATTATTTGTTTCCAGTGTGCAAGAACAAGGCAATATTGGTTGACGATAGCCTAGGACATATAAAACTGCTAGACTCTTTAGATTAACTTAAATTTTCTTCTACTTAAAACAAAACAAAACCCCCACAGTTTTTGTCCTTACTAGCTCCAGGAAGCATTAAGTGCTGCAGATGTAGTACCACCTTCATTTAGAAAGTTAGCTTTACCTCCTGGATCTAGTATTTGCCTACACTCTACTGACTTCACACCTGCTCTTACAAACATGCAGTTAAATACAAATTTGTGTCCCAAAATTAACTTGCAGGTTATAAATACCCACACTTACACTAATTAGATTAAATACCATTAAACAGATCAAGCTGAAAGTCACACACACACACACACCCCTCCACCACTTCTTGACTAATCAGTTCTTTCTGGTAAAATTTGAAAGTTATCCAATTTTCCCTCTGGAGTATTCTTTAGCATCCCTAACGAAAACACGTGCTAGAAGAATCAGCTAGTCAAAGCACGATTTGCCTTCTTACACACACAACATTGGAATTTCAAAAGCACTCACGCTGACTTTGTGGGATTTGTGTTACTATAGCATTAAGATTTTCATGACCTTCTAACCAACATCACATCTTTGCTCCCCCCCTATGAGGGACCAACTTCAAGGGTAATTAACCGTCCACCCTTCACAGATGTAGGCTAGCTGTCTCACCGTCTTTGAGGTTGGGATCTTGTGAGTGTCAAGTCCTTTCCATGGCCGCTTGTTGCTGGAAGCGGCAGTATTTCTGCTCCTTCACTACCAGACACATTCCCCTCCATTACTCACTCTCAGGTGCTTGTCAGACCTTCTGTGACCCAAGTTTAACTTACTACACCAGCAAAAACTAGACAGGCAAATTTTCTTCTGGGTTAGTTTTTTGCCAGGCTATTTAGTTGCATCAGCTCATGGAAGCGTCTGACAAGAGCCAAATCAACACAAAGGAGAGCTGCTATACTGGCTCATTGCCGCCTCAAACTGCAGCCCCACTATGTATTTGGAGGCCTTCTGACCATAACTGCTGAAGCAGCAGCTGTTACACTTGCTGAAGAGGAAAATATCCAAACAAGGCTGTGCAGAAAGTTTGCAACATATGAATATATCTTACTCAGTATTTTTTTCCTCATTTTTATGGTATAAAATCCATTTAAAGCATATGCAGTAAAGCTTTTTATCTAAGGGGGATAGCGTGGAAAAGAACGAAAACAAAATACAGTATTTGGCAGGCTATAGCTTTTCCCCAGTCCTACTTATCTACTGAGCAAATTCTGCATTAAATAAAAGGTGGTGGGGTATTTGTTGCTCCAAGTTCAAGCTGCTCACTCCCTGTACACTTAAAGGATAGTCATCTGCTTACTATATTAACACCTTCTAGTTTATGTCACATGTTCTTAAACCTGCTAATATAGTAGAATCGAGTAGGTAGCAAAACATCAGATGCAATGACATTTATTTAAAATAATCCCTCACGAACTGACATAAGCAAGTTGTAAGTACTTGCTTGTGTCTTAGGTATATTCAAGTCAGCTGCCTCAAAAAAATTTTAAAAAATCATTTTAAAGGAAGAGTTCAGATGTTAACTGTTCACTCGATTACTTACCGATCAAGATTTGACCTGTTTTCATTGCTGAACTACCTGGCACCAAGCCATGTACCACAAGCTTCTCTTCACCGATTCCTCTGTTGACTTTATCCTTCCTGCCTTGCTTTTCTGCTCTTCTGCTGCTCCATGAAGACTGATGGACAATCCCTACTAAGGCTTCCAACAGTCTGTGCTGCTCATCTTCTCCAGCACTGTACAGTTTTCTGGGATTTACATAAACATATACATCTTTGTATTTTTGCTGAACAGTGACACCCATTTTCTGAGCGGACTGCTGTTTCAGTATGGAAGTAGGACCAGTGGAGTGCACATTACAGCTTCCACTGCCTTTCTTACCAGAATGCTTTGGTAAAAGATTCTTCTTTTTTAATATTTTGGTCAATTTCTTCAGTTCATACTTTCTTTCTTTTCGTGATCCCTCTTGAATAACTTCAGCTTCATTTTCACGAAACCTGACGTGATTCACTGCTGGCATTTCTGGACAGCTGTTCTGAAGCAGAGTTTCTTCTTCACTTTCACTCAATTCTAAATAAAATAATTCCCCATTTTTCTGCACACCATCCAACCATTCAGGCTCAAGGTCACTGGGAAAGAAAGAATAATGATCAGTGACAGCTCTGATAAGAAAGACTGCTATGCAAGTGACATCTGATTGCTTCAAATAGGGAGGGGATAGAGAGAGTGCAAGGAAAAAAAAAGGGGGGGAAAAAAAATGGTTGAGCTTTCAATATTCAGGAGACAACTGCTTTATGCTTGCCATGAGGGTAAGAGCTCTTCTCTGACAAATGATGGATATGGCAAGGAAAGACATCCCTCCCAGATGTTAAAATAGTTTCTTCAAATGCTTTACAGGAAAACAGCCATTGCAAAAAGCAACATTCCCTTTTCTGAAAACAAACAGAAAAACCCAGCCCCAAACTATTCCTTTCACATACAAGTTTTAATTAGTAATTACACTCACAGGCACAACAGGGCTTTCTCTTAAAAGAAAAAATGCCATCCTATTGTTCTCTCCCATTATTTTTTCCTTTACGCATTTCTAAGACAGATTGTACTGCAAGCCCTTTGGAAAGGCAAGATTAACATTTTAAAATCACCTCAATATAACAAAAAAAAAACCCCACCCCCAAGACAAAATATAGCAAACACTTTTCAAAAGACAAGTTCAAAATAGCATACTCAAGCTCACTTGCAAAAATACACAACAAAAAAGCAAAGAGGCAGCTCTGCTACAGAAAAAGTTCTAGCAGCTGGAGTGGATCACCAAGTCACTAGCAACAAGCTGCTACAAAGAAAAGCCAAGGCAACTACAGGATGTATTAACAGAAGTACCATCTGCATAGCACAAAAAAATTTTTGTCCTAATTTGGCAATGGTGATGTGTCAACTGTGTCCAGTTTTGGATAGTACATTTTAAGAAAGATGTAATAACTAGAACAAGCTCATAGCACAGAGACAAATACTAAGTAGTCTATAAACATGTTTTAAAGGAAAAAACAATAGCTGAGAGGCATTGGGCCAAATGGTCCACTCCCCCACCCTAAGATGAACCATGGAGTATTCCTACAGAAGGATGAGGTATCAGTAATGGTCAAAGTAGGAGTACTTAGTGATTTAATTTACCAAAGTATTTAAGCTAAATATTAAGAAACCTTTTGATCACACGCACAAAAAAAATCAGTGTTAGCAGGCATCTGGGATGTTCTGCACAGCAGATTTTCAGGAACAGACAAGACCAGTTCATTCTTCCTGACTAGATGACAAACAGGTCTCCCCTTCTATGAATCTGAGGCTGCATCAACAAAAATCAAATAAGGAACAACCAGAATGGAGACTTACATAATAATTAATATGCTTAATTGTTTAAAGTTAACATACATTTATACATACATTCTTTGGGGTTGATGTCAAATTTCAGCTTGGATGTCATGTTCTCCAGCTTCATTGCCTACTTTTATTAGAACCTACTATGTGGACCAAGGGGAAAAAAAAAAGAGGGTGGTGGTGGTGGTGGTGTTTACACCAGGTCCACTCAAACAGAAGCACTCCCGAGAGAAGGCTCGTCAAGGAGGCCTACATATGGCAAAGTCACTCTATGCAAATAAGCTGATGAAGACAGAAGACTGAAAAAACGTCGCAATGGCATATATTGCTCTCCTTGAAGGCATTTTCATGAGTGTACTTTAAAGGAACTATCACTTTCTGAATACAAATCCATACAGACAGCTAAAAAAGCAAAGTCTGAGACAAGAAATCTGTACCTAGGATGACAGGGTTTTTTCCCTAATGCTGTAGTTTCAAAGCTCATTTAAACCAAGCTAAAAAGAAAAGAATTAAAAAAATCTTCTTTCCACCTCTCTTCCTTTGTGCCAAAACAAGTACTTACACAATAACCTGAGGCCTGGAAGCTTCAGTCAAGGGTCAAGGGATCTAAAAACCTGGAAGGCCCGCGTTCCTCTAAGATCAGTTTCACTGATCTTTCTTCTTTGGTATAAATGTCTGGAAAACTGTGCCAATTGAAATTGTCCTCGTATGGAAGAAACATACTAGAAGTGAAGGAAGGAAGTTCTGATTCTGAAGCAAGAGAAGACTGTTCTCACCCAAGGAAACTCAGGAACAATAAACAGTTAACATCTATGAGCCTTGTTTTAGGGCAATTAAACAGCAAATCAAGGGTTAAATGTTGTACTGCCCTGTACGATTAAATTCCACCCTTACTTTGCAGAAGATCATCATCTTTGATTTTCCCAACCTTTGCCTATGCAACAACGAAGTACAGCTTCAGAGCAAAGCCGCCTCCCGCTTACTAGCCATGGCTGCCTAGAGGGGTTCTGCTCCCCCACAATCAGTGAAAGCGACCACAAACATTAAACTGGTACAACAGACAAAGCTATAAAAAACCCACCACACACTACTTTAACAATGGCGTATGTAAGCATTCGCTTCACAGCTCTGTCTGAAAATGGGCCTTGCACAAAATCACGGGGCTCTGACAACGCAGCAGTCATATCCCCCGTATTCCCACCCTCGCATGAACATTCCTTGGTGTATCTTGGTTTGTCCACGTTAGCTGTAGTATCAAGCAGCACAGTTTCAACTGCCAGAAGTAGTCGTCAGTAACTTTTAATTCAGAACGCCATTCCCAAGGTTTTTCGTTCTTCAATTTAATCAAATATAGCTGATAATAGTGCCACACACAGATCACCCATAGAGGAACAAATGCCATTACCTTAAGATAGCTCACAAACCTATTTTTGTAGCTGTTACTTTGCAAACCTGCACTGTTTCTCCCTCCCTTTTCATTACAAATCACGCTTAACCTCTTGTTTCTGTACTCAGAAGGCTGGAGGGTTATAGGTCCCATGGAAAAAACTCTGGACCTAAAATTAAAGCTTCACAGTTCTGTTGATGCAGTGCTAGAAAAGATGCAATTCAATTTATCCAACAGTATTATAATACATTGTGTCCTCTGTTGAAGACTGTGGAACACAGCTTTATCCCCTGAACACATAGAAAGAACACTGGTAAACAGGCATTTTAGATGAAAAAATTGGAAAAAACCCATCAAACAGACAAAAAAAAAAGTAAAAAAAAAAAAGCATGGCTTTAGGCAGAAATGTGTTGCCGTTGAGTTCTGGCTTATAAACATAGGAACAAAATAAGGTGGGTGTACATCCAACAGCTCAGTCTCTCACTGAACCAGAGGCATGAGACGACCACAAACCAAAATATACTTAAACACACTTCAAACCTCTCCCACTTAAATCTTCTTTTCCTTCTTTGCTGCATTACATAATGAAAATAACAGGCCAAATGGATCGCCCATGGATCAGACCCTGAAGCACACATTTGAACTGTCAAGCAGAGCTGCTTTAATGCAGGGGACAGAAAGTAATTAAAAAAATAACGATGATTGAAAACCCCCAGTGGTTGCATATGACTTTAAAATACTTATTGGTATTAGAGGTGTCTTCTCGCCTACCATTTCCCAAAAGACAGGCCACTGAACCGGGACGGCTGCGCCTCCCGTGCTTAAGGCGTTTATAATACAAGAGCCAAGCCCCGCTAGCCCTCCTCTCTCGCAGGCAGCGGCCAGCCGGGGTGCGGGCATCAGCCCAAGGCCTGCCCGCCAGCTGAGAGAGCGCCGCCGCTCGCCACTTCACTTTCCAGGGTTCTGCCGGAGAAACGCGGTCTTTACAAAGCCCAGGGCGCTCCGCAAGCGAAAACCGCGCCACGCCGCTAACGCTGCCCGCTGCTCCGGCCGGGGCAGCCCGAGCGGGCCGCCGGAGGAGAACGCGCTCAAGGGATACGCGTGGCAAAAACCTTGCGGGAGTCAGGAGCGGGGAGAGGGCAAAGGGAGGGAGCGCTCGGCGGCACGGCCCCACCGCGGCTTCAGCCTCCCGAGCGCCCGCGGGCTCTAAGGGCGCGTCGGGCCCTTTCGGGGAGCCGAGGGA